TAATTCAATTGTGCATACTAACTTGCAAAATGCATGCAGCGATTTCATTAGACGAGAGCAACCGTTGGCGACATTTGACTACAAATGGCAGCATTTGATCGAAAACCTGGTTTCAGACCCCCCTGTATAGTGCATCGCGCTACAAAGTTTTTGACGGCCCCAACGTTAATGTGGCTTTTGCTATGTGTTGGTTCAGCCGAATTAATTATTATGTAATCAAGTTTATTTTTTTCTTTTAGTTAGTTGTCATCCGGCCAAACATTAAGCAACTTATATTGCAGCACCATTTTTCAATTAGAATATTAAAATATGTCATTGTAATTTTGCATGGCTGAAATGTAACGCTTGATTTGTATATATAATAATTAATTGAATTTTCAAATAAAAATAAAAAAAATTACGTCATACATAATATTTTTGGTTCCTGAAATGGCGTTATGTTAACGGATGATCCTCGTAAAATATTTGTTTCAAGTATTAGTCTACGAGTCCTAATCGGCGCGCGCGCGCGTTTTATTTTGGTTTAGTAGGTTGTATAATAATAAAACTACAAGCATTATTGATCATGCTAATAAAAAATCTTTAATTAGACAAACCTTTGAACAAACCTATTAAAATTGATATAGTGTAGAAAATGAAGCAACAAAGTCATTTCGAGCTGCGACATGTAACAAGCGTGCTAAATAATTTAACAAAGGTTAACAAAATGGTTGACGGATGTTACTCGTCTAAATTTCTTCGAAGTAGCGCGCGCCGCTTTCTTCTCGATGGCACGAGCTACTAAGTAGCGCGCGCCGGGCCGAATCATTATTAATGGTCAACAAAATGGTTACATCAAATAATTTTAATATACATCATATATATACATTTTGTAGCGCGATGCACTACTGGGTCGCGCGCGCATCCATAATGCTTCTCGCCGTAGATCGGTGAGATGCACCACTGGGTCGCGCCGAGCTAGGAAGGGTTTACATCGTCAATCAAATATACATTAAGATTGTTTAATAAAAACCATTTAGTATATGGACACGTTCATTTGAGTTTGAGGATATCGTAAATATAAGTAACCCTATTAAAAGGCACAGTGTAGTTGACTTTGTCACACTATGAAATTACACAAACCCTTGATGGTTAGACTAATCGTCTCATCCTCTAGGCTAACTTTGTCACATAACGATATCTTAATCAGATGATAAGATATCGCTTAAATACGGCCGGCACAGAAATGGTTACATTGTCACGCTATAAACATGTGACGGACAGAGTAAATATGGACCCCTTGCTGCTCTTTTTGACCAAATTTTTGAGTGTCCAGTTGATTGGATGGGTACATATGACCATTACCTACATATTTGACGAATTTTTTCGTTAGATGGTGCACTCAGGTTTACTCTGTCACACATTTAAGAAAATATGTGAAGAATGTTTAGGGCACCCTGATGAGCAATGCTGAGAAGTGTAGGTTGATTTGATGGTCTGGAAGTGCTAGGAATTGTTATCAACTTAATAACACCAGAATGTGTGTGTGTCTGTGTGTCTGTGTGTCTGTGTGTGTTTAATTTCCGAACGGTTATACAAAAAAAACGGTAATAGTTACGGGACTGGTTTTTTCGGTATAGTGCTGACAAAACTCTGACGAAGCCCATAAGCAAATTTTATAAAAATCGGCCGGTGGTAAGTGGTTTAATTGATGATTTTGTTCCAGCAATGTGACATAAATGGATGGGAGAGAGAACGAGGAGGATAACATGTACCGTAATTAGTTTAGCCCCACGTAATACTATAAGCTTAGAGCTCACTCTTGCGGCCGCTTTGTTTCAACTGTAGGGAGATTTCATACTTTCATAAGACAGCGTTATGCGTGATATCAAATATTAAATATATAATGCGGTTGTATACTTTTACATTGCAACTGTGACAGTAAAGTCCCGGCCGAAGGCACGGGTTACACTAGTTATATCATATAGTCGTAAGGAATTAAAACACAGAAGGCACAAACAAGTTTACTTTTTCACATATTCTTAATGATATCTGAACATGTGTGGAATTGAACAAATAATGATATAACAGCTTAAACCCCTTATATTACGTACTATGGATCAAACAACACTGCTATTACCATGCACCAGTCTCATAAATCATTATCAGGTGGCAATATGTTAACAGTGTCACAATTAAACTACCGCAAAATGGTCAAAATAGGGTAATTTCGTCACAACCATTTAATTATTATAAATAATACTATAAGCTTAGAGCTCACTCTTGCGGCCGCTTTGTTTCAACTGTAGGGAGATTTCATACTTTCATAAGACAGCGTTATGCGTGATATCAAATATTAAATATATAATGCGGTTGTATACTTTTACATTGCAACTGTGACAGTAAAGTCCCGGCCGAAGGCACGGGTTACACTAGTTATATCATATAGTCGTAAGGAATTAAAACACAGAAGGCACAAACAAGTTTACTTTTTCACATATTCTTAATGATATCTGAACATGTGTGGAATTGAACAAATAATGATATAACAGCTTAAACCCCTTATATTACGTACTATGGATCAAACAACACTGCTATTACCATGCACCAGTCTCATAAATCATTATCAGGTGGCAATATGTTAACAGTGTCACAATTAAACTACCGCAAAATGGTCAAAATAGGGTAATTTCGTCACAACCATTTAATTATTATAACTCTGTTAGCTCCTTGCTGGAAAAATAACTAGTTTATCGAAATCTTTTTGATGATAAAGTTACATAGTATTCTAATAGAGGTATAGTTCTTCAAAATAGGGGCAAGACATGATTACTTTGTCACATCAGTTATGGTGGTGGTGTCATCGTTTGTCGTACTCAAAACGTTTCACGGTTGCGAATGCCGGCCCATCGAGGAAAATCTTTTTACTTTGTTTTTTAACCATTACAAAGTATGATTAGTCGGATATAGTATATACTGAGTTCAAACAGTTCCCGAAACGAAAAAGCAAACATTTGATTTTTGTTTCGGCGACTGAATCGTCGATGGGCCGGCAAATATTTGTTGTCGAGTAGTGTTGAATACTCATATTAACATGATTATTGATTTAATTTAGGAATTGTATATAAATATCTTTGACCAAGTTTAATTGTCAATGAGAATGCACCCCAGCACTAGGCACGCGCGGCGGCTTTGATGTTAGCGGCTACAAGCTAGGCAGCTGCAGAAAAAATGCCGCGCGCGTTCAGCGTACGGCTTTTCGTTTTTGATTTTACAAATGACAAAGCAACTTTTAATGATTATTAATGGAATTATCTGATATTTATAATTTAATATGTATTGATTCTTCTGTGGAAAATAAAAATTGTATTTTACTTAAATTGTAATTGTATTTTACTTATTATAAGAGTTAAGTAATCGTCATCAGATTAACAGATATTTTCCGTAGTTTTGATCGATTAATATAGGCAATAAAGCATCCTATGCCAATTTTAACACACTATCTTAATATTGTTGGGGCAGGAAAAGTTAATTTTGTCACATTTTCAGTGTCTTTGACAAATTAATCTAAAATTGTTAAACTTGAGCTCCGATGTTCTGGACAATATTCAACCAATCGTTTCTGAAAGAATGTTGAATTCTAATAGAGTTATATAGATCTTCAAAATGGGGCAAGACATGTTTACTTTGTCACATCAGTTATTATAAGAGTTAAGTAATCGTCATCAGATTAACAGATCTTTTTTGTAGTTTGGATCGATTAATATAGGCAATAAAGCATCCTAGTCCTATGCCAATTTTAACACACTATCTTGATATTGTTGGGGCAGGGGAAGTTAATTTTGTCACATTTTCAGTATCTTTGACAAATTAATCTAAAATTGTTAAACTTGAGCTCCTATGTTCTGGACAATATTCTACCAATCGTTTCTGAAAGAATGTTGAATTCTAATAAAGTTATAGATCTTCAAAATAGGGGCAAGACATGTTTACTTTGTCACGTCAGTTATTATTAGAGTTAGGTAATCGTCATCACATTAAAATATATATATTCTTTTGTAGTTTGGATTGATTTATATAGGCAATAAAGCAGCCTATGCTAATTTTTAAACTCTATCTTGAAATTGTTGGGGCAGGAAAAGTTAATTTTGTCACATTTTTTGTGACTTTGACAAATTTAACTATTTAACCTAAAATTGTTAAACTTGAGCTCTGATGTTCTGGACAATATTCTACCAATTTTTTGAAAAAAAAAAGTAAAATACAATTTTTAAAAAAATGTTGAATTCTAATATAGTTATAGAATAATATATAGATCTTCAAAATAGGGGCAAGACATGTTTACTTTGTCACATCAGTTAATATAAGAGTTATTATAAGAGACTATTTCATTCTATAATCATTGTTTTTAACCTTACGATTTCGTATAATTTTTTGTGGCAATGTAAACATCAACTGATCTTAACTCAACTACATTTTCATCATTATTAAGTTTTCCCGCCTTAAGTTTTCCCGCCTTTCAAACCAAAATCAGATATAAATAATTCGCCCAAAAATTTAAAATTCCATATACGTATTGTGACAGAATTAACATCATTTCCCAATAACCAAGTGCCTGTATTAGCTAACTATTCGAAACAACATATTTTAGGGCTATGATTGGTATATCAACCATCAAATAATGAGTTAAAAGGGTTTTGAGGACACCTCCCAGTAGAATAGAGGTATGGTATTCTGATTGTGACAAAGTTCACTTGTCGAGATCCTAACCTTAGAGGAAAAATTCAATTTTCACCTTATTATCTAAAACGATTTATGGTTTACGATATAATGGTATAATGTACTTAAAAACATTTCCCCTAGACGTCCGTTTCTTTACTTCCTAAGGATTTCTCAATTCTAGGATCATCAAAATTGCAAAATCATTTTCCGAAAACTCTACCACTCATCATTTACTACATTTAATACACATTTCAGTTGTCAGGTTGCACTCTCCTAACCTTTTATTCTCCTTCATTTAGTCATGTCCGTATCTCCGCTGAAAAGAAGAAGAATATGTGTTATGGGATACAGTAGGGTAGGAAAGTCGTCTCTGACAATCCAGTTTGTCCACAACAACTTCCCTGATTCATACGAACCCACTATTGCTAATACTTTCAACAAGAGATTCCAGATCAACAACAACCACTATTCTTTGGAGGTAAGTTTGATACTGCTTTCCTTAACTCACGTACAATATTATATTATAATACCTTCCGGGAATTATATCCACTAAAACTCGGGGACACCGAGGGCTGATAATTTGCTCATTTTTCCCGCAAGAGAAGCGAGGGTATTATCAGCCCAGACTCAGACTGGCTGGCGGAAAGTTTCAAAACAAATAACACTGGCGTTCTATATATTAGACACTATATTGTATGATGCGCACGTATCGGATTACACCCCTTCTGCAATCGGAACCGGAACGTATTATAAAATATAATACCTCCGCAACTTCGTGCCCGCAAATTCCCTCCAGCAAGCTGTCGGGAATTATAGCGCGCAGCACTCAGTGGCGGAGGTATTATAGTATTATAACGAAATTGGGCTAAGTATCCAAAATCAATGTTATTAATGTTATATAATATGCAGTATGTACACAAGTTCAAGTCTGAAATTATGGGCCAGGCTGTCAGTTAAATTTTCTGAAATCGATTACAGGGCTAATTTGAGCAGCAGGTGCCTAACTACAGATAACATATCTCTCTGAGCTCAGTTTGATTATGAAATATTATGTTGTTTACCAGGTGATGGATACAGCTGGTCAGGATGAGTATAGTATTATGTCCTCTGGGTACGATGGTATGGACGGTTACATCATAGTATACGATATCACCAACAGGAAGAGTTTCGAGGTCAGTTCCTGTTCGTTATTGGCTCGAATTATTGGCTCGAATCCAATATTAGAATACCAGAGATATTTTAGAAGTGATACAGTATCTTATTAATCAGTGCCGGATTCAAATCGGGTGTAAACGTGGACTGTCCAGGCCACGGTGGACATTTTTATCAGTAGGTACTCGAAGGAGTGTAAAATGTTAGAAATTATCCCCAAGATTGTAACATGAACCATGCCCATGGTACCACCACTTCAATTGTTCTAATATATATTATAACTTCAGGTGTGTCAAGTTATATTTGATAAACTGCTGGAGATGAAAGGGGAGAGTTCAGTTAACCACGTCCCAATAATCCTGGTCGCAAACATGAGAGATTTGCATCCACGGAGGGTTATTTCCGTCGAAGAGGTTTGCTTGCGGTTAATTGTTAATTAACTACTTTTATGTCAGGTCGTAACTTGTAAATTGTTACTATTAAGTGGAATGGTGGGTGTCATGCTTGTTGGACAAGTGATGTGCGACAAAATAAAATGTAATACGATTTGAACTCAAACTTGTTTCATTTCGACCGCACCCTGACGATATTTAAACTTCTAATCACCGGTGCCGGCTAGATGTCAACAGTTCACACCATGCACTACGTATTTAATTAAAATTACTCGCCATGTTTTCCATTTATGGATGTCGAGGATGAAAATGTGGCGAAAATGGTAAAATCAACAAGCCTCAGTGCTCACCCATCAGTAAATATTTTGAAAGAAACATTGCCCAACACTATACATACTACTTGAGAGTTGCGCAATTGCCCATAACGGACAATAGAGCATTAATTATTTTAACGATGCGTCATAACTCATACAAACTGTTTCCTGGAATTCGAAAAATAGTTTACTATTACTGCGAAGTTAAGAAAACGGTAAGCTTTAGACTTCAGAGGAAATGGTTTACTGCAAATTTTGAAATGGATCACTTCAAACTATGAATAAGGCTTAAGTTGCAAACTGTGAAAATGGTTGATCGCAAACTGTGGCATAGTTGGACGAAGAATGCTCACTTAAATTGTCGAAACTTCTAGCATTCTTTAAGTGTCTGATATATTAGTATATAATATTGTTGTAACCTATACTTTATCTTATGATGAGGGTTAACACATGTTTCTTTTCTCTCCAGGGAAGGAAACAAGCAATGGATTGGCACTGTGATTACATCGAATCTTCTGCCAAAAATAACGAAAACATAAGAGAGATATTTGAGACGGTCATCAAGAAGATTGACAAAGATCTGGGCGTGTCTCATGACAACAAAGAGGGGAAATGTTCCATGATGTGAAAATTGACTTTGAAATCTCATCCTCTTTTTGATAATTGATAATGTTTTTTATTTTGGTCAAAACAGTTGACTACTGCTTGATGTTGTTTTTACCTAGGGGGCGCATTGCTTTTCACCATTTATCCTGGAGATATAATAGGTATTAGATTTTCGGTGTGAGGAAAATTCTTTCTGCAATCAAGATTTGAGATTGTATCGTCTCCATGGTGTCAATGGTGCATTTGTGATGTTTTTGGTATTATATTCGACTGAAAAGTTCAAAAAAAAGATGAGCGAATATAATACGGAAATTGGTGATTAGATGCAATACTCCCCAAGATAAAATCATCATTTGCCGTGATTCACCTAAATGTTGAGATGATTTAAGAAACTTTTTCTAATTCACAACAAAACTGTTCAATTTGGGAGAAGCGGATGATTTTTATGATTATAGGATCTTTATAAATTGTTAGTACAAAAACCTCAGATAGGAATTAGTTAACTCAAATAATTTATATCTCGTTCAAGGAAAGCGCCGGATGTGGGGGGTCATTAGTTGACATTCAGAATGTACTGTATTAAATTATTATAAAATTATCCTGCTAAAATGTTTTATAAATTAGGTTTGGTTTCGTTAAAGTATATGAAGATAAATAGGCAGTGAAGCATGAATAAGGATGAACACCATATAAGGCATAAACGATTTGAGTTTTTCTCAATATGTTTCATTGAAAACTTGTTTTATTGTAGTGAACTGAATTTTAGTTTAAAGTTCTTTGAATTTAAACAGTACTTTGTAGATTTCGTGTGAAACGACGATTTATTGAATTTTCACTGTTTTAAACACAGAAAACACAGAAAACACAGAAATAGTGAATCCCAGGCCCTACTTGTTTAAATTGAACACGGTTGTGTTAAATTTAATATATTACGTAATATTACATAATAACTACCCTTCAGAGCGTTCATGTCCTTTTAAATATCTACTGCATTTTATAAGTGGTATTAAGTGGTCTCTAGAATACTACACTAGGTATTTTAAATCGTTCAAATAAATCGCTGCCGTTGTGAAGATGTTATTTGACATTATGCCCTTAAATTTCGTTGACAATTTTACCAATGAAAAGCGACCATTTAGAGTATTGAGTAACATTTTAAGTCATTTGAATCATGTAATATGCTTTCATCTGGGATTTAGCATGTGAGGATGAATATTGATTATTTTTGTTATACCTTGCGTTTTTATACATCACGTGAGTAATCAATAACCACATTATCGGCTTTAATCAAGTATCTGGCTGGAAAGCCGCACAATGTTTAGAGTATGGAGGGTTTGTCCGACCAATCAATTAATAAACTCACATTTCAGCACTGTCTGTCAAAAGTCAATATAAACGATTTTCAACCCCGTAATGATACTAACTAAACAGGTAAACTTGTATTCAAGTTTACCTGTTCGCTGTCTCGTTGGTATTGCATTTCTACTTCTATCAATGAGCCTCAGCTGTGCATGTGGTTAAAGAAAATGGTGAAATCCATGATCGCTAGCCTTCCCACATAATACGGTATGATCTGATAGAATATTATTCTATCTGATCATATTAATGATTGCGCCAGGTTAATAATAAGGAGAGTATTAATGCTCATATAGTAAAAGCAATGTAGGTTTAATCAGCTTATTAGTTTACTAGTAGCGCTTGAATATCTTCAATGGGAGCTTTGTCTCAGAAGTATAGCATGTAATATTATAGAGGATCTAGTCAACTATTTGTGGGAAATTAGAAAATTTGGGCTATGATAACCCTAGTTCTACAAACCGTTCTTTTAATCGGTTGTGTAATGTAAGTATCATTGATTATCGTACTCTGCAGCAGACTAGAGTAAATCACCTGCCCTAACCAATCCTACAATAATCGCGCGATATATATATATATATTATATATAAGGTTAAATTCAAGTGGTTATTCATTTAGCGACATCTCGTTACCCGGTTCAATCCTATGTCTCGACACAGTTCTCACTCTCCCATTCATCGAGCAGGTGCTTTTCCTTGCTTTATCTTCCTCCGTGTGCAATCTTATTTAGTTATTATCGTCCTTATGCTCTGTCGTTTTAACTTAAGATAGTAATATGTTACCGCAATATGTACCACATGCACATATTATTTTGTGGTACATATTGTGTGGTAACTGGTAATGAGTTAGATTTTATGAGATCTTGTGTTCACAACAGGGAGTATAGTTTTCTGTACACCGCCTGTTTTCAATGTTGTAGCAGTTAACCAAAAAGCTAGAGCACGTGACCTAACATTTGAGGGGTCCCGGATCCCAACTGCAGCCACGCAGATATTTAGTCCTTTTTGGCACAATTATGTCAAATCACCTCAACATTACCCAAATTTTACCCAGCAAATTTTGGAATTTGGTCGCCAACTTTTTAAAAGTGTAAAATCTGATAAAGAAGGTCCTGAAGTAGGATTTTAGGTGAAAATTGCAAACTGAGATAATATGGGCAATTTTGTTCATTTTTTTGGTGGTCTTGTGACCTTAGTTTCCTCATTTCTATAAATATTAAGCTAAAAGTAGACCACCCAAAATTTGGCTTTTTGGCATGTTGAGGTGATTTGGCGTAATTGGGCATAAAAGGGACCAAATATGGGCATGGCTGCGCAAGCACCAGTGGACGATTGGGGTCCAGGACCCTCTCAAAAGTTTGATCGCAGGCTCTGAAACGACCCCCCACCCCACCCCCACTCCTTAAGCACATGGTATCAGTTATCACGTATGATCTTGCTCTCAGCTGTAAAAACAAGAAATGCACCCTAAATTCTTGCTCTCTCATTCATCGAGCGGGTGCTTTATCTTCCTCCACGTGCAATCCAATTTAGTTATTATCGTCCTTATGTTTTGTCTATCATTTTCGGTAATGAATTGGATTTAAGGAGATATTTTGCACCTTCTGCTTTCAATATTTCTGACATGTACCAGAAGCATGCATACATATTAATTGCTTTCTTATAGAAGTGGTGATCTACTCGGTTAAGATATATCTAGCTTCACTTTACTTTGCCGAGTGCTAGATACGTTTCAAATTTATTATTACATTTATTTTATAACCCTTACCGTAAAATCATGTCACCCATTCAGTCCTAGACTGAATTTACCATCTGAACATCAGTTCAATTTCAAAGAGACACCGTTTTGATTGCTTTGTACGAGACATATTTAAATGGTACGAAAGTAGGTGATTTTTCGAAAAAAAACACCATTATATTTTCGGACTACCAAAATTTAGGTCACCATCATTATATTCCCCAAATTTTTTTTCACTTATTTTCTTTAATTATGACTTTATCGATTTACTGTCAACTTATCAATATAGTAAGTTATAAATATGATTCATCAAACAATTAGCACTAGTATTTGATCATGAATTGCTTTAAAAATGATTTTGGACACGTCCCATTAAGGGGGGGGTTCACCCTGATTTTTTTGTGAAACTTGTTTTCGAGATAGCAGTTGACCAACAAACTAGGACCGGTGACCGAACTTTTGAGGGGTCCTGGACCCCAACCGCCAAACGGTGCCCGCGGGGCAGCCACGCCCATATTTTGTCCAAATCAGGCTCAATTTAGCCAAATACCCTGAACATGCTTAAAACCCATATTTTAGGTGCTCTACTTGTAGCTAGTGGTCCCCTGAACCCGTGTATGAATTTTCATCAAGATTGGACAAAAAATGGCTGAGTTATGAGCCAAAAACTATATGACCATATTTGGGCATACGCACCAATTTTGATCGATTTTGGCCCATAAATTGATCAAATATCAATATTTTTGAATGAAACCAACTTTATATGGAAGGTAAGCCTACATTACACCTTCTCTATGATTATCAGCTCAATTATGAAACTATATGGTCAATATTTTTGAATGAAACCAACTTTATATGGAAGGTAAGCCTACATTACACCTTCTCTATGATTATCAGCTCAATATCTACCTAACTGTGGATTTTGTGTTCAAATAATCGCAAAAAATGAACAAAATTGCCCATAAAAAAAATTTGGCGGCCAAATTCTGAAAAATGCCCGGCAAATTTTGGAATTTGGCCGCCAAATTTTTTTAAAGGCCTAACTCAAAATTCTGTCCCAAAACTTAAGGTCGAAATGCGATTCTACGTTGATTCTGAAAATTTCATGAAAAAATATTGAAACCCTATTGAGTTCTATTGTTTTGAGCAAAGTCAGTTTTGCAAATATCGCGAACTGAGATATGGGCAATTTTGTTCATTTTTTGCGATTATTTGAACACAAAATCCACAGTTAGGTAGATATTGAGCTGATATTCATAGAGAATGTGTAGTATAGGCTTACCTTCCATATAAAGTTGGTTTCATTCAAAAATATTGATATTTGATCAATTTATGGGCCAAAATCGATCAAAATTGGTGCGTATGCCCAAATATGGTCATATAGTTTTTGGCTCATAACTCAGCCATTTTTTGTCCAATCTTGATGAAAATTCATATACGGGTTCAGGGGACCACTAGCTACGAGTAGAGCACCTAAAATATGGGTTTTGGGCATGTTCAGGGTATTTGGCTAAATTGGGCCTAATTTGCACAAAATATGGGCGTGGCTGCCTTGCGGGCACCGTTTGGCGGTTGGGGTCCGGGACCCCCTCAAAAGTTCGGTCACCGGTCCTAGTTTGTTGGTCAACTGCTATCTCGAAAACAAGTTTCACAAAAAAATCAGGGTGAACCCCCCTTAATAATAAGCAAGTTCTGTCATTACTTTATTGGCCACGGTGGTGAAATTTCGGGATTAGTGGAAGATAACAAACACTGTCGGTCTCTTATACCCTCTGGAGGAATATAAGTTAAGTTTACTAAGGCTCCAGAGAAATTGTTTACAAGATGGAACAGCGAATCAGAGAAGAATTTTGTATTTAATTTTCTCAAATATTGGGTTTCATTTTTGTAAAATCAGGAGATGAAAAAATCCCCAAATACCATGATTTAATTTGGGGTACAAAATGTGGCGGTTTTCGGTAAAACATTCCCATATTTTCGTTCCCAAATCATTTAGATCACCGGAATTACATAATATGTCGAACATAAATATGTCTCGTAAGGTAAATTGTTATTTTAAAGTATTTATTGTTAAGGTAAGATGCAACCAGTCAGGAAAACTACCTTCAAAATAGAAATTATCTTTTCCCTTTGATAGGAGCAGCAGACAAAAGCAATTACAAAAGCAGCACCTAGCATATAGGGGGGGGGGGGGGGCGGGGGGGGTTTCACTACACTTTTTTACACTTTTAATTACACTTAACCAAATTTTCTTATAAAAATCTTCTGTTTTCCTATTATTTTCCAATCAGTCTTTACATATTACATTTCCAAAGGTCACTCTTTTACTCCCCCCCCCCCCCCCCCCCCCAACCCCCTAGTATATAGGTCCAAAAGAAGGATAATGAGCTTTTGAGCCACGTGGTATGTCAATATGATTAAGTGATATCTGTGTCAAGGAGTTTTACATTGTGCGCTCCGGGAACTACCATGAGCCTGTTTCTAATGTGGGGACTGGGAAGGATGTAGGGTTTTTATTTTTAGTCGGTACGCGGATTTATTTAATCCTTTCATTTACCTGATCGTACACAGCTTGGTTTTGATTCGTATTCCATGCAGCTATTTTGTTTCAAATCTGTGTTACAAGTAACCACACTGCTTCCTACTTTGACATAGCCTTCTTGACAGGATACAGTTATAGTTGCTCCATTATCTACTGGAAACTCTGTATTTGTAAACACTCCAGTC